AATAAATTGATTTATGGAACGTTGCTACGGGAATTGTAACTACCTCTAGGGATTGCAAGCAAAATCAGGTATTTACCATAGATAAAATGTACAAGATTTTATGTTACACCAGATAAATTTTAATAATTAACTAAATAATAACGACAGCCAATTCATAAATCTTCTTCTGCTATAAACTTAAGATACAGATACTAAAGAAGAAAGGGGATCCATATCGTACTACACATTAATTGAAATTATAATTAAAATTTACTATTTATGACATTGTTGCTATAATATACGATAACATAATTAATGATTTCGATACAGCATAAGTGGTCCTCTTACCTTGCAATTACGTACAAGAAATCCGCTAGTGCCAAATTTAAAATTTGTACATCGTTAACTGAGATTTTTCTGATCTTCCAAAACATATAGAATGAGAGTAGACCATTACCAACCAAACCGATTATTAAATAGGCAATTAAAGTGCTTATAAAGAAATTATGTCCATAAAAAGTTTCACTTATTGGGAATACAGTCGAAGTTAAGTTAGCATTCAGCGTGGTAGAGTTTATGCGAATTAGATTTATATCTTCAATTTCCATGGTATATTGTAAAATTAGGTTTTCTTGTGACAAGTTAGAAATGAAGCATACGTTTATTAGTATATAAATTACCTCAAAATTGTATTGAATTAATACGTAATCAGATATTTTCTGAGGCGATCTCGTACGAAAGTATTTAGGATAAGAGATGCTTACCTTTTTGTCTAATATCGTTTAGTAAAAGTCATAAAAGCTAGAATATAGATACACAGTAATTAGTTGACAAGATTGCTTATTTTTTATTTCTTACATATGTTATGTCCTAAAGTAGCAAATATTTCACTTTATCCTATTCAGTCCTATATCTTTGAATTCAGTAAATGTCCGGTCTACTTTTATAAAGCGAGGTAATGTACCATCTAAAGATCGGTCAGTATTTTATTGGAAAAGGAATGGCAAATTGCTAAGAATCTATCTGCATCTATCATTCTTTATTAATCTAAATAATTTTTAAACAATATGAAAAAGTACAGACAGTAAATAAAAGAATTTAAATAGCCTTTGAATCACATAAAATAGGATGTAATTCATACAATTGGTTGAATATGTTCATAATTAGCCAGTTTCTTTAAAATTATATTATAAACATTAATAGAATCTAAGTATTAACGGTTTAGAGGAAAAGTATTACTTAATTTGATGAAGATGATTTTATGTCCATTTATTAAATTTAAGCTTACCCGAACTTATAAAACTTTTATGCAGGATAGTCACGAAAGAAGATTAAAACTGTCCTTATGGCTGTGCACAATAATCGATTTGTTATATTGTACTCACATTTTTAAATAGCTTATTTGCAATTAAGTCTCTGTCATGTTCTTTTATTCATTGACATTTAATAAGTGTCCTAAGAGTTTGATTCTTATTTGTTTTGAGTCGGTTCCTGATTCGCTTAGTTACTGGCACATGAAGTCTTTTTCAAATAGCTCTGTTAAGTAGTGTACAGATGTAAATGGGTTTAGATTTACAATATTTGAATAACTAAAAGCGCTGCAAGAATCGAGAAACAGTTCATTTTGCTATCCTTATTTATTTATTATACTAGTGATTTTTTGTATCTTTAGTTATAGCTGATAATTAACCTACAAGATTAATTGATATTACAGTATAATTGATTTTTTTTAGTGGTGCATTCGTAGACAATAAATAAATTATTGCGCCAATTAGAAATGTATTCTATGAAAACCTTTATTCATTACCAAATTTCAAAGAACAGATACAGGACAACAATGTCTTAAATAATGTAACTTAATGTTTTTAAACATCGAGGATCTTTCGTTTGTAATGATATGATTTTAAAAAATAACAAAAACAACCTCTTCTATTATTTCAATTGAGAGAGTGCCAATTTGTATTTGGTGTTGCACAGATTTGTTTTATTGCTAATGGCTTCAAAAGCGGACGCTATTGGGAGTAGTCCATCCTACGGACTGTATAGTAGAAAAAATGATTGTAATAAGAATCCAATTAATATATATATTTTACCGGAAAAGTATTGACGATTTCTATTCTTAATTGTAAAGCTAGAAAATTAATTTATAGTCAAAATGACATGTTCATCGTAATAACTCAAGACGAGGTTTAGATTTATCTAGACTCACGCCGTTACGGCGCTGCTATCGGATTAATACATAATCATACATTACTTTCATGTGTCTCTACTTTATGGTTGTAACATACTCTATGTTTAAAAAAAATGCGAAAAGATTGCAGTTACGAAATTAATACTACAAGATAGCTTAATTATATCATTATGATAATTCAATTCTACCTTTATGCTAGTCTGAACGAGTATGACAATGTTAAAATTTTTTCTATACGAAATATGAAAGATAGGTATAGAGCCATAAAATTGAAGCTAATTATACAATAGACCATATAGATTTCCAATTATTAAGTTTATTCACATGCAAGTTCCTTACTCCTCGAGTAAAGCCATCCTAGAGATCACATGTTCGCTTTTGAGTCTACATATATTGTATTAATTAATTCGGGAAAAATGAGCCTGCTATTGCTAATTTCTTTAGTACTTTTCTCTATAGATTTCTCGATTCGGTATATATAACTTTCAATGTCTAGAATATACGTAGCTATCTAAATTATAGTCATCGCAGGATGCGAAGCAAGAAATAGTTACGTCTGCTTTAGTAAATATGAGAACATCCGATTGACTATTTAATATTTCGAGTACTGTGTAAGTGCGCAATAGAAAGTTTAAGACGGGCGATCATTTTCGCAACTGTATGGATTATAATTATGGAAACGCTTCGAGTTCAAAATTGGGCAATGAATCCATGTTGCTGTACCGGCATATACCAGCAGTAGAGTATTACTGTGTGATAAGTGATTCCTTAGTCACACACCGTCGCTGTTATGCTTCTCGATACAGCGTAAATGAGCAATAGAGTATTCTGCGTCATCATAGAGATAAATATTGACAACGTTCTATAATTTAAAATTTTTTTCTTTTATCCCTTTGTGCAGTTAGTCACTCATTTAGAAATCAGATTTCTTGTCGTGCTTAAGACCATAAAGTTATTAGTACTACTGGATGAGTTGAGTACAGTACTTGGAAGCGAAAACACGTCATTGAATAGTTAAAAACTATCCAGTGTTTATGTACCGATCGTGAAAAAAAGCATCTGCTTTTCTCGGTTAATATCATAATTTGATCATTGAACGGTGCTAATATAGCCTGAAAAAAGAAGATCCATATGAAGAGGCTAATATTATTTGCAAAAATCGACGAGTATAGCGAATCACCCAAAAATGGCTAAAATTTCAGAATTGGATATAAAATTTGCAATTTCTGTGTTTGCCTGAATTCATTAAAAAAGAATAAAAATAAGGAAAAGTAATCAACATTTATACTGTATATCTGTCTACGTGACTACGTGTACATGTTTTTTATATACTGCATATTTCAATTTCATTTAATTCCAGTTGGGATGTGCAAAAAGCTCCTTCTAAACAAGTACATGCCAATGTCCCCGCAATAACGGTGTCCATTGTTCCAGTACAGCATTATTAATTAATTCAGTTGAGAGACTACTGCTACTAGTGATCAATGGGGGGGGGGCTATGGGTGCACTGGTGCATGGACATGGATGGATGGACAACTGAACCGTACTGTACTGTACTGTCTGTCTGTACATACTGTACAGTACTGTAATATTTTTTCATTTTACCATTATGGCAGGTACTGTACTGTACAGTACAGACAGGTGTATGGTTCAGTTTTCAATTGTCCATCCATCCACGTCCAGTCCATAGCCCTCGAGATTCGTGACCCGTCATAAGACTCATGACAGTATAGTACTGTACGTGACCCATACAGTACATTACAGTACAGTACAGTACTGTACACTGTACAGTACAGTCTGAACTAGTCTGGACTACAGTAGTCTAGTCTAGTCCAGACTGTTTAAGTTAAAAAATCAATCAATCAATTTTAAAAGTTAGTAATTTCCCAATAGCTTCACGGCAGTCATCACTGGCAGCCTGCTGATATAAATTTATAAGGAATTTTATTTACTTAAAGTGGCCTATCGCGGTTTAAAATTGCTAATCCAACGCTATCTTTTGTCATTTTTTAAAATGGCGTTGTACTGTATCAGAATTTGAAACGGCGATAGTTGACTTTTAGTAAATAGAATTCCTTGACAAATTAGTGTGCAGCATACTGTATCAGGAGATCGGCACTCATGTACAGTACAGTACAGTACTGTCGATTTTTGAACACAGTGTACAGTGTACCGTGTAGTGTACAGTACTGTACTGTCGATTTTTGAACACAGTGTACAGTGTACAGTGTACAGTGTACAGTGTACAGTACTGTACTGAACTGTCGATTTTTGAACACAGTCTACAGTGTACAGTGTACAGTACTGTACTGTATGCCTTGAGCATAGTACTGTACTGTACAGTTTTCGACGTGTGTTCCAAAATTCGCGTATTCAACCGACAGCCAGCAAAAAATGTTCAGGCCAGTTATTATTGCGGTCATTTTACTATACGCTAAGACTCTAACTGTACATCATATAGTACAAAACCAACTTGGCAGCGCGATCGTGCACCCGGGGAATGGTCAGGCCGTACGCCGTACTACAGTTGAAATGACCAGCAAAATCGTCGGCCTATCAACTGCTAGCAATAGATAGCTCAAGGGTCGTGTTCTGCCACTCTCTACTGACAACTGGCTCATTCAGTGCTGTATCCAGTCCGCAGTCAACGCCGAGTCCATGTTATTGCTCAAGCAATGGCTAATTTGATCCGATTTGGACACCAATCCTGCCAGTGGTCCTCAAGCTACTCTATCAAGGTATCAATTCAAAATAGCGCAGATTGCCACTCTTTTACTCTCTATTTTGTACTGTATCTACTTGCAATGAGGATAATGTTGGTACTGTCGACATGGCTTGCAGCGACGAGGTGTGCGTGACATCTGCAATCATGTTGACGAAAGTTTTACTTTAAAGACCTAATCTTGCTATCGAGTAGAGCTATAATATATTGTATGTCATATTTTAATGGGTAGTTATGCTACGTAGACCAACGATGTTAACCAATGGATTGGATAGAAAATTAGATAGTCTAAATAATGGTGATATATCGATAATATTTGTAGATTTGGAACTTTGCAAGAACCCTTTCAACCTCAATCGCGGCTAACAATGCAACAGTTACCATGCAACAACCCTCTGATGGGGATGAACATCAAGCCAGCGTAGAGCGAGAATCAAACGCCACTTCCCTTTCGATCCATGTACCATCAAAAGTCAATAACCCTGTAATGATCATTGATCAAGACAATGAGTATTTTATTGCCATGGATTAACCTTTGAAAAATAATCATTCTTCGTCAATCACTAATTTAATATATAATTGCTGTACTATCTTGTCCAAGCGATCATCCAAATCATCATCATGTTGAACGGTGTATAAATCGAGCAACTAATCGTCCCTTGAATGATATAACTTTATTTATTTTGATTTAGGTATTACATGACATAGAGCACATAGGTCAATTTTACACTGTTCGACAAGATGATATGGATGCTGTACTAGCTAAAGCATTACCAAGGCGACTGACAAGTTTCGTAAGTACTGTACTCTGTTTTACAATAAATTTACGGATTATAATGAATAATGAATCAATTAAACTACGATATCAATGATACACAAAAAAGTCAAATTTAATAATTAATAATGATACCGGTAACGTGTATATACAGTATATTGGCTATATCCAGATTAGATCGGATCAAACATTATATTTTAAGTGGCATAGAATTGGCAGACAGGAATTCGCCTGTCAGTCCATTAGATCATTTAAATGTAATAAATTGATAGCTAACTTTATTAGTGAGTATAATAGCATTCAGATATCTCTATAGTTAAGATATAAAATGTAGTCTAAATAAATTCGGATAGTATCTTAATGAAAGACATATAGAAATAGTAGCTACTTATATTAGTAAACAATCTTTATATTTACTGATAATAATTTGAAGTTAGATAGGCATTTTTTCCTGTTCTACAGATAAAATGATAACCTCTAAAAAATAGAAAATTAAAAATGTGCTTATAGAATCAATATCATAGTTTTATGCCACTAATTGTGCTCTACCTACCTCTTAGTCAAAAGTAATTGGATCGGCTGATATCATGATAAGAGATCCGGCAATAGATATTATAAATCAATTAAAGAAGAGATCACCCGATGAACAACCGTTAAAGTTTATTATTGGTATCCTTACTATGCGATGAAAATCATTTAGCATTGTTAAATATAACGATACGTTGGATTGTCAGTCTTATTTAATGCAATTTGAATACTTTCCTTAGCAGTACCAAATTTTTTTATTTCCATCAGGTGGTAGAGACGGTACTGGTAAAACCGTAACATTAGCTCATGTGATTCACTACTGTTATCGATCTAATTGGTTTATTTTACACGTTCCAAGTGGTTAGTACGTTCAACTCTTCTACCTTATACAATTACCATTTAATATAACATTTGCTAATCTTAAATATTGAAACAATATTATATATGCATATGTGTATGTACTTTAAGCTACATAACATTCGGAAATACAATGTTTGGCCAGCGATTCGTGCATATAATTACTAGATTTCAATAATCAACAATCTCTAAATAAACATCTTCAACAGAATGAATAGATACTAGTATTAAATATGGAAAATTAAACTTCAAATATTCTCTCACTCTAAGTATCATTGAAGTTATTTTGGATAATTTTTCTTTGCAATCAGCAAGGATGCTATACATCGTAATAGTACCGTACGATTTTAGACTACTTCATATCTGAATGTATTTAAAGAAGTTTATTTTTTAAGTCCAATCTGTCAGATATTATTATTTGCTGTTACGCCATCTAATAGATTTTTCTTATATTAAAAGTCTAATTATATCCTACAAGCAAAGGCTTGCATTAATTAGCCATGACTTAGAACGAGATAAATTTTAACCTTTTACACATGTAATACTCAATATGTAGCTACTTTTTACAATTTAATATTTTTTAAAGATATAAATTCATTCTCTTGTTAACCGTAGTATATAAGTGGATCAGTCCGAATTGCGAAGTTAAACGATCACATCGCAGAAAAAAATTTTGGGACCAGATAGACCATGCTTGTGAATGGCTAAAACTATGTAAATCAATCAATAAACATCTAATTGGAAATGTAAGTACTGTAGTAATCTTATAATTCACTGATCTGTGTTATGATTGGGAATAAAGTAGAGATGATTTTAAAGGATATACTCGTATATAACGAAATTCGTAATTTTAAGTTAGAATTCCATTGTACCTGCAATACTGTTATAGAGTCTTATTACTGCTATTTGCTCTAGATGTTTATAAAGGAGACATTTCATTATGGTCGAGGTGACAAATTCGTGAAAGGCGATAGTCTAGCTAAAGTAATTGAACAAGTAAGCGACAGGATAGTACGTGTAATATTGGTACAGTTATTTAACAGACGATTTCATGCTTGGGTTTATTCGTTGCTGTTTAGGGCCTGTTAAAATCGGAGTTTTCTGTGGACGTAGTGGAATGTATTTTACAGGAACTTGCAACCCAAAATGAGTAAGAGTAGATACAATGTAATAAGTAACTATACGCCTATATGTAACCCTCAATTTTAGAATATATTATGTAAAAATCTTTTTTGTGATAGTGGTCTCGTTTGAAAGGCGTATACAACATAATTTAGTATTAAAGGACAGTATCCACCCCGGTTATTTAAATCGAACTTTAGAGTTTACTGGTTTATACTTCTTTAAAATTATAATAAATCTTAATTGCTAGAAATACTAGTATCTAGTTAGCTTCATATTCATATTTATTCAGTGTTTTAATTGTTAATAAATTTCTTCGACATTAGAAAATATTCGCCATTATTTTTGAGATAAACATCAGAAAGTTGACAGTTAAATTTAAATGCAGTAATGGGGAGTAATTTTTACATCGCAGCTGTATTTTTTAAATAACTTTGCTATGACAGTACTTTATAATTCAGTTATTGTTTGGATAGAATCCCAGTGTTGTATGCTGTTGATGAATACAATGCCTTTTTCGGAAAAAGTGCGGTCCAAGACTGGGATAAAAAAAATGTAATTATTACTGTTAATACGAGCATTACTTTTATTCAAAAATAATATTGGGTAATACGTGTAAAATGCTATTTTTTAATCAAAGATTGATCCAGTCTATCTATCTCTGATAGCGAATTTTACGCGTGTTTTGGAGCCCAAAAGTAGATTGGTAATCTTTTACATTCTAATTTTTAAACATCCTAAATTTTATATAATTTCACTGTATGATAGTATTTATTATATCTATGAAATTGTCCCTTAAACATTTAATAAAATAATATCAATCACGCTGTTTTAATTTCTTGTTGTTACTAAAATGATCTTAGTTATTTTAAAATTGATTGTTTTTTATTTATAGCGCAATGGAGCATATGTCATGGCGATTTCACGTACTGGTGCACCAAGAACACATTGCTATACTGCTAAGCAATTATTACCCGGCGTAGTAAGAAAATACTCAATTAAATACATTAAGTAGTGATTATACGTATTATGCGACATTAAAATCTATGTAGAGCCTGCACAGAAGCAATTAATTGATGGGTTTCTCTTTTGATAGGGTATGAAACGTAGTGAGCCGTATAGCCCCAAGGTTGTATCCAATCTTACTAAGGAAGAAGTCAAAACATTTATTCATTATTATAAAATGAAGTCTTGGCTAAACTGTAAGTTAATTTATAAAGTAATTATCCTATACATTATACAGTATTATCTTTCACCAAATATCTATTAATAGTTTTCGACTTTGTGTATTATTAGATGAAAATGATACCGAAATTAACGAGATTCATGACTTAACTTCAGGAAATCCATTATTGCTGAGTAAAATTAGTGCTTGGAACTGAGTTCTATGCATAAACTACATGCAAGTAAAATTTGTTATCGATTTTCTGTTATATCACTTGTACAAGCAAATAATTCTTAATAGATTATATCAGATAACTTTAAATATTATTTTAGTAACAGCTGCATATTATTTATAATTATAGGTCGTAAGACGTTATGTATTGATTTTCACATTTCAAAATAACGACGACGTCTTTTTCCTACAATTAAATAAATAACTCTTTAAAAGGCGTTGAGCGTCCTGTTTGGCCCTAATCTCTTTGCATATTATTTCTAAAAGTGCTAATAGTGATCAAATTGCCTTTATTGATATCCTTCGACGTGAATATAATAATTTTACGTATGCCTTTACAAATTATTTATAATTAAAGGTGCACAGACGCACGGAGATACTAAGCTCAACATTCCGTGGAGTTAGGTTGTGTTGTTGGTTTACAACGACCACTCTCGGAACATCGGCTTAAAATTCGTATATATGCAGAACATGATATCATAAATTAGCCACGTAAAGATATTCTAGTACATCATGTTACCACATAACTACGATTTTGTAATGCCGATATCGACTGAATCACAGAAAGCAAGGGCAGTAAGTACACATTTACGAAGACATCACATAAATTTATTTATTAACCAATAGTAGACAGCTTAGTCGGTCTCGTTCTATTTTCTGCTTAGAATCTCTAATACAGGAAGAAAGGTCTTTTTAAAAGTAGAAATGCTCTGCAACGATTTCACGCATATGTGATGAGGTTTTAATTCCATTGCCAAATCTTGACTATCTATTAGTCATACTCTATCATAGAATTAATACTGTAAAAATTCTTTTAGTTTTGTCAAATAGTAGCTCTGACTTACAGATTTTTAAATACTCCATCTAGTTATTAGTCGATGAGCATTCTCGGCAAGATATATATTCGCAACAATAGCTAACTACGGAAATCAAGACAACTCATAATATTATCAGCTATATTAACCACGCTACGGCTCAATCATCGATGAAATACTGAGCTATCGATAAGTATAAATACCGTATAGCTACATCCCAATGGATGTACATTGTACATGTCTAGTTGGTTATATGAAATCATCTGAAGAAAGCCTTTGTAATTGGAATGAAAACCGCTTATTATAAGCTTACATTGTTGATGACATCGAAACGGTTAAAGTTATATGTTTCGATCATTTCTAACAAATACACAGAATTAATTTGCATAAAAAATATTTTAAACGAATCTAATCTTAATCCATTTTATTATCAGAAAAGTAAAGCGTGCTGTTAACTTTTTCAGAATTAAAACTATAACGTTTAAAAACTAGATCGTGTAATGTATAAGTTCATATTTTATAGAGGATAGGCGATTCACTTACGTAAACATTTTTGGGCTAGATGAAGTTTTATACAACTGCGAATTTCTCAACGGGTTGTCAGTAATAGCGATGCATGGTAAAGATTTACTTATTTTAGCATCGCTCACATCGTTTAGCGTATAGTGTTCTTCCATTATTCCATGGGGTGATGTAACGTTCTTAGGACAAGTATGACTTCCGTCTTGGCTGTTTAAAATCGATGAATCTGATATTAGATTTCTTGAGCAATATTCGCCATAGTAATCATTCGCCTCAGATCTCTGATCGTGAAGGCAGCGGCCATTCCTATCTAATAGTGATAAATTTACATCATGATCTACTTGTGTTCTTTCTACATCGTAAGCTTCTGTAATTTCTTCTCCCAATGTAATAACTTTAACACGTTCCGTATTTCTTCCATTTTTTTTAACAGCAGCTTGTGCACATTCTTCGGAATGATAGTAAGATACATCTTGGAATGTGTCTGGTAAATCAGGAAGTAGTAAGTCAATAATTGTTCGAAATTTTGGTCTCATTTTGGCTTGAAATTGGGTACATTTAGCCAAAAGGTGGTACCTAATGGAAGTATACAGTATTTCAATACATCATAGACTTCATTAATTTAGAAATCATTTCATCATAATAATATCCTAGTTTAGTAGAGATAGCTTTATAATACAGAATAAATGGTGAGTAAGATGGATGTATTTAATAAGTAACTCAAATCTTTTGACTATAATTTCTTTGCGCTTAGAGGCACATACAATTTATCAGAACAGAACGGAGGTCTCTCTGGGCATCCTCCATCGAGAACATATTTAACAACATCTTCGTTCGATTTTCCCGGATAAGGTTGTTCAGCTAAGGTAGTAATTTCCCATAAAGTAATACCGTATGACCTATATTTACGTTAAAACGAAAAGAAATCAAAGTTCATAATAACACTTGGAAGTAACCTATATGGTGCTCTATTTCAAAAGAATTTATAATCACTGAGATTAATTCTACCCACGAAATGAATCATCATAAAGATTAATTTTTTCATATGTACAGTTCTATTTCGTCTTATCAATGTAGCAACAAATATTTAACTAGTCATGTTATATATTACATGATAATAAGGATACGAATTGTATTATTATATCTATCAAATCACATATTGGTTAAGCGGGTAACATAATGGGCACATTACCTATATGGTTGCTATAATTTAACTTACCATACGTCGGAAGCTGATGTAAATATACTGTCTCTTATAGATTCAGGAGGCATCCAACGCACAGGAAGCGGCCCTAAGCGCAAATATTAATGTACAACTATTAAAAATATTTTACTATTAATTCTTACATTTTCTACTAAAACGCAATAGTCGTGGTTAATATCATACTCTAACTGATATTATTCCTATTTATTACCTTTTTCATTCTTATGATAGTAATCGCTGGTGTAAATATCGCGAGTTAAGCCAAAATCTTTAAAAGCCCAAAATTAGAAATATAACCTAAAATAGATATATATTCTATCACACACTTTCAATTATTCTAATCATTTACCTCCAATCTTCACTACAAGATTTCCATTAACTAAGCAATTTCGAGTGGCAAGATCCCTAGTATTTACATAATTTCATCGATGTAAAATATTTTGATGAAGAGACCTAATACTGTACTTAAGTTATCCTATTGCATATATGTGAAAAGGCGTTATTTCTACGTGACAATATACGTAATTATACCGTTTGGTGTATAGGATGATTTGTTGGTGACATTTTAGTAACTGACCTATGCAAAAACTTTCTATCCTCCAAGTACAACATTCCATCAGCTATTTCAGCAGCCATTTTATGAAATTGGATGTCAGTAGGTCGGTTTGGATTGGGCCTCGTATACTAAGGTTGGATTTTATAATACAAAATAACTATTGCTATTCCCGTATATCATCACTGTTTCTGAAATTAAATTGTCATTTACGATTTTTAATCTACTTACATAATCTGCATTGTCAGCATCTTCACGAATCGATCGTAAATAGTTCTTTAGGTCACCACGAATCATAAACTCCATGATGACTAAAGGTGGAATTCCTTTTGAAACGATACCCAGTAATCTAACAATATGGTTGCACTCGAGTTCTCTATTAAACAGAGAGCACAATAACTGTCCTTAATGCAATTTTATAGTCTTATATTTTCCTACCAAAGTCAATAATTTGATTTCGTAGAATAATACGGCAATAGGTGGGAAAATATTGTAATAAAAATCAAGATTCGATAATTGCCGTTATCATTATGATATTATACGCGTATATTTTCATATCAAAATCATTAGTTTAATTTTTACAGCCTTGTCCAGTATAAGTAATATAGAAATACAGTAATTATTTATTAATATTTATCAACAAATATAATTTAAATTTTACGTCATAATGCAGGCCTCATTCAAAAATTCTTGACGCTGTAGGAAGGTAGCCTTTTCGTTTACTGTCTATTTTACGATATAATACCAAACATCATCATCCAATTTTTATTATCGTTCTCTACTTAGTATTCTTTTATAACTGCAAATATGCTTTTAACTCCTGTACCTTGACGGCTACTTTAGTTTTCGATTCGCCATGAATAATACCATGAGCTTCACCAAGATAAACCATACCGAATGCGCCTTTGCCTAGTTCCTTCAATAAGCTCACCTTATCACGTTCAAATTCCCAGATAGCAGGAATACATGTTACTATTGATACAGTATATTAAAAAAGTTCCTTTAATACAAATTACGTATTTTAGTAAATTTCTTGCTTTCCTTAAATATTGGATTAGATATAAACTCTTTAAAATTCAATAAACTCACTCGTATTTGATTTAAAGTGTTATATTATTTTATATTTACGATAAAATCTTACTATCTTCTTCGTTCATGTAGTTAGGATTATTCGATTCTATGAACTCCTTCGATTTTCTTTTAATTCTTAACAATAAGTAACTCTATTAATAATTAATAATGTAAATTATCTTATATAGAGATAACGAATATCTATTACCTTCTTGTATACCATACTGCTCCGCAGGCGACGATGATAGTGAAAATAACAGTACTAATAACAACGCTTATAGTAACAACTTGATTTTGATCTTAAATAGAAGAATTAATGTACAATAGTACGATAAGTATCAGTTTAACTCGTTATTAGATATGTTATCGTAGTCTATATAATTTTGATATTCATGTGTAACGTATAGTTATAATACTGTATAAGGGTATTTAAGCATACGCTAGAGCTTTATACAAATGTGAAGTAATTAATATTTCGTTAGGTTAAAATTGTTAGTAGATATATATTTAATATATATGTGATCAGTGTAATTACCGCCTAGTTTAGCTAGTTCTATTGATATATTTCCTGCCCATGTACCATTACCAGCTAACGATGTCACCCTGACGTCTATAATATAATAACCGCTTCTGCCTAATTTGATGCTGTAACCATTTGTTTCGTTATACTCAGAGGCAGGTATACATCTTGATTCCAACTAATAGAATTATTTAACAAACCATTCGTGTGAGAAGTCTTTTATAGTTTTAAAAATTTAACAAGTAACGATATATTGTAAAATACGTATATATTACGAAGATAAAGTATATATAAGATGATAGAATTGGTACCTGATCGTGCTTAGTACCAGCCATGTAACGGGATTTATCGTCGAAACGATAAATTCTGATCTCGTACGCTAAAATATGACCACCATTAGGATTGATTGGTGGACTCCACAACATTATAACTTCGTAACTTTCAGCGATTTTTCTGAATGATATATTTTTTATATCATCTCTTGTAACTAATTTATCATTAACGATAATTCATTATCAGAATTATTAGTTACAATCATATAGTAACTACATAGTTCTGTAGCATACAAATTCAAAAATAGTTATTTCAGATCAAACACTATATCAATATACAAGACAATACCTTCTGGTAGAGTTCTAACGTTATACAGATCTGTAGAAGAATCTTGTCCAGCTATAGGACATTTACTGTTACATGGAATAATCTATAATGAAGAGAATAGAATAATATAATACACTGATATATACATCGAGTACACGAGATGATTTATTTTATCGTTACTTGATGTTATTATAATGTAGTTACTGTAGATATACAAGTAATTAAGAATTATATCGATAGCTAGTAAAAGAATGGTATACAATACTTACTGTTATTAAATATTTAGTAAACGGATCGAGATTGTGTAATATTATGTATGTATTACGAATATGTTTTTCTATTACTGGAAGCGGGGACGGAGTCGATGTCGATAGTAATGGGGTAGTTGCGATAGTGATACTACTTAGAGTCGAATTTCTACTAGCAACGGTAGCGTTTTCTAAAGTGATATTCGTAGGTATAATCGTAGTTGCCACAGCTGTCATTTTAATGATGGTGTTTATTAATGTAGACTCTTCGGTTGCCGATGTAGTGGCTGCTATTTTGGAATGTATGTATATAGATAGAAAAGATAGTACAGTATTTAGTGTTATATATCACTTAAGATACAAGTATATAAGAGCGAATAATACAGTAAATTATATATTATACCAGTTGTTGATATTGTTATATTTGCTGTTGATGTATTCGTAGAAACGGGCTTTTTTTTATGAAAGATCATATTGGTAAGGTACTCGAAGAAATTTTGATCTTCCCTTCGGATATCAGTAATATCAGCTTGATTTATACTTGTGGTAGTAGTAGACAAACATGGACAGCTATTGTTTGCGCTAATTGTAGGTGTAGTCTTTATGTCGATGCCAGGATTTACGACGATATTCGAATCCACATTGCCACTATCGGTGCAAACTTTACTTGGTAATATATCTTCTGCTATTAGTTGTTCGTATATTACTTTATAAGTTATGTTAAGACCGTTAGGTGAAGATGGAGGATCCCATGAAATTCGTATTGATGATGGAGAAAGATTAATATATTCTACATTTCGAATCGGTGTCGGCTCTATAGTCGAATTAAAATATTTTAATAATCGATATTCAGTGTTAGTTATATACTATACGTGTAACTGTTTACTCAAACAAGATACAAATATGAAAACGTACTAGTAGGATATTTAGTGTAATCAAATGAAATATATAGATATAAAGTAGAATATTAATTAGCTAGTGTATTTAACTTAAATTAACGTTCTGTCACAATGAAACTTACGTAAATCTGGTACAGTGTAATATTTAATATTACTAATAGCACCGATATCGCTGATTGTTATGGTCTTAACATATACAGCATATATAGTATTCGCTTTCAAGTTCTTAATGACGACAGTATTCTTGTCAGGAGCTATAATAATTTCCTGCCAACTAATCATATCCAAATTATATAATAGATATAAATAGATATTGTTACTTTATATGTGATATTTCTAATAATATTAATTTATAACAATGTAAAGAATTGACAGTAGAATAGTTTTTAGATTGGGTAATCGTTAATAAGACTTACACTTTAACTCCACAAGCATCAACGCCGTCATAAACTGTAAGATTAGTTGTAGTTCTGAAAATAAAATTGATTTCATATTTGTAGTTTGTAGAAATGTATAATATAGGCGTGTGTATTGGGTTGTTGTTACTTTAACTTTCGTATAAGTATTGTACTTTGTCAGCTATTTTGTAATTTACTAATTCTAAATACTGTTCGGTGCAAGGATTGAATTTAGATTCTGTTAACTTACGTTGTTCTATAATACACAATATGATTTACTAGCATATTAGATCCTCCAAATTGATTGGAAGCAATCGGTTCCCAAGTTACATTTAAAGTAACTCGACGTCTATAATAGTTACTGTTGCCGTTAAAAACGGTTATATTAATAGGATAAATGATACCTAAAATCATTCAAAAAATATATTCAGTTAACTAGCTTCTTTTACCCTAAGAATTCTGTATAAGTTTATGAAAATACTTAAGTACTCGCTTTCTATATTTGTTAGAGTTATAACTAGTAGTAAAACAGTAAATTTATTTAATTTTATACACAGCTAGAAAACTTATTTTAGACATACATTGATTTTGATCTCCGTTAGTTTGTCTTGGTACATCTACGATAGAAGTTGTATTTTCTTGACCGATTTGTTTAGCTAATGTCATAATTTTGTTGTAGCACAGACGCGGATTGAAATGGAAGAAGAGTTTTCCTCTTTTGACTTGTAATTTATGCTGTGATCTCTCAGTCCATAGATTTTCTAAATTTCGATTGTCAAATATAACAATCGCGTATCTATAGATGAGGTAGATTATGTTACTACATTATAAAATTCTATGAAACTTAAACATTTTATCGTATTTATTTTTTAGTATAAATAGCGAAGAAATACTTAAATAAGATTAATGTATTGTAATTACTCGTATACTGATAATTTTTGTTAATTTATATTTATATCGTATTTTGTTGTATGATAAAATTAAATCCTTATTAACGTATAGAAATAGTAGATTACCCTTGTCCTGTTTTGTCAGCTCTTGCTAACTGTTTACCATGAATAATTTTTAATCTCTTCAAAAATTCTAAGCTGACGATCGAAGGTGTACTAGAAATATCAAGATAGCCTTCGATTTCTTCGACACTGCTAAGAGCATTTTCTAGTTCTT